AGAATAGTACCTAGTTCACTGTGCAGCCAAATTTATATTTATGGTACAGAATTTTTTGAATAAATAAAGTTTTAGGTTTAATTAAACACTAAGTTTTATCAGGAATAACATTTTCTGGATACCTATTCTCTAACTCATGGGAGCACTCCCACACTCCCATACTCCCATGCCAACGTTGCCAAGTCGACAGAATAACTTTGATCTACTATTTAAGGACCGATCCACCGTTGTGTTAAACGAAGTTTAAAATGACATTTTTACAATGTTACAATGTTATTTTAATTTTAACTCAACGGTGGAATCAGCCCTTAGTAATTCAAATTTGCTTTGTGATAAATACGGACCTAATCTGGCAAGCCCGCAATTCTCCCTCCCATAGTATAAAATCTGACCTTACTACGCATGTACCTGGGCTAAAAGTGAGTAAGCACGATATACCCACCTAAGAGTAAGAGAGCAAAATATATGGGAGCACTCCCATGGGAGCGCTCCCATGACTTAGTGAATAGCTATCCTGAAAAAAGTAACATAAAAAGCAGACTTTTTGCGAGCCACTATATATATTTTAGAGGACAATCCATATTATTTTAGAAAAATAAATTAAAGTTTTATATAATCACATAAATGTGATTTATCTTTTAGAATATTGTATATGTTTGTCAAAGTTTACTAATTTAAAAATCTGATGTGTCCAACACATGACTTTCCTATCTAGTTAACCTATTGCAGCATTTCTAAAAATGTTTAGAGGATAAACTAAATATATACATTTTCCACATACATCTACCTCGAAACATTTTTCTATAGATATTCATTGAAAACGAAAATACTGAAAAATTTTAATTTAGCACTTTTCCTCCAATTTTTCCATTACGGTCCATTTTAGAAAAGTCATTTAAAAACAAAAATTATAGAGATCGATATCGCAAACAACTTTTAGATTAACAATTTTCTTAAAAATCAGAATTTTGCACATTTTGTCAAATTTCTCGAATACGGACCATTTCAGGAAAATTTGACATAGAACAAAAATTATAGATAATAATATTGTAAGTAACTTTTATTTAAAGAATTTTCTTCTCCAAACGTAAATAACGAATATATTCCATAAAATATAAAAATGACCACCAATAAAGTACCCCCCCAAATGTTCCGACTCTGTCCAAAATCTAATCAGTTCACCTCAGGTCGAAATAAAACTTAAGTTTAAAATTTAATGTTTTTTCCTTTATCCGTTTTTGAGTTTTATTCAAAATTCGAAATTTACACATTTTCTCAAATATCTCGAATACGGTCCATTTTAGAGAAATTATTT